CGTGTGTGCGTGCGTGTGCGTGTGCGATATCGTCTTGTTGTGCTGTTGTGTTATGTTGTGGCGTTGTGCTGATGTGCTGTCGTGCTGGTGTGCTGGTGTGCTGTTGTGTTGTTTTGTTTGTGTTGTTGTGTTGTGCTGCTGTGTTGGCGCTGTTGGCAGTTGTGTTGTACCATGCTGTTTAGTGCTTGTGCGGCTATACATTTCTTGCTGCTTGCTATTTGTCAGTTGTTGCTTGCAGTAGGTTGCTCGCTGCATGTTTCTTATTGTGTATTTCCGTCTGTAGCTTGTGCTTGTTGTCATGATTTTGCTGGCGCTTGTTGCGTTTCGTGATGCTTGTTGCTTGTTGCTTCTTTTTTTGTTGCTGGTTGGCAGCTGGTTGACTGTTAATTGCTGATTGTTGATGTCCGTCGTTGGTGGTGCTGTCGTCGTCGTCGTCCTTGTTGCCTATTTGCTCTTGCCCCTGCTACTGCATGCAGCAGTTCTTGTTTCTGCAACTTCACTTCGTAGCCGCCAACACCACGTAGCCTTAAGAACTTACCACACATGTCCAAAAGCAGCTACAAAAAAATGAAAGGATATTCGACACATGCAGCCGGTCTTGCACCCCGACGTCGCGGTGCTCACACAGTGTTGCGGGATAAGGCAGTGGTAAGCCCTTTCCGATGACTGCAGGAGGCGCGCATACCCCGGCGTTGGAGGTGCTTCTGCTGCAAGTAGTCCGTGATCTTTGCATTCGAGACGGAGCTCGCTGCAGAGCTCGCACCTCTCCTCCAAAAGTGCGGTGCCTGCTCTGCACTGGCAGCTCTTATTGCCGGGTGGGCCACGCATGCTGCCGAACATGCACTCGCAAGTAGTTGCAGAACCGCTGGAGGAGCTGTCCGGTGGGCATTGCTTGCAGGTTGCTTGGCCTTCCATCTCTGCGAAAGTGTTGGGGGGACAGGCCGTGCAGTGGATTCCATGACCATAAAATCCGGCTTGGCACGCGCACATCTCCAAAGGCAGAAACACCTGCGGCGTGATGCGCAAGGTGCCAGCCATCGGCACCGCGCAGGCCCAGCCCTCTGTCTTGTTGGTGACCGACCTCAGGCCCACAAGCCTAAACCCCCTAAACCTTAAAAAAACGTCAAAACTGCCGAGCATTCAACTCTAAGCTACCAGCCTGCTCTCTTCTGGCTAGCTGTCACAGCTTCCCGACAGCAGCAAATAGCATAGCAGGGCTGAGTGTGTTTCGAGACTTCGATTGCCAAAGGGACAAAATTTCTTTGGAGCCTAGCTAGTCTCAGAACCCAGGGAAACGCAGCAGCCCAGCCAGCCCAATCCAACAATCACATCGGAGACCAAGGAAGCCAGATAACAACCAAAGCGTTGAGTGCAGATGCAGCATAGACACGACCCTAAACCCAACCCTAGCTTGCAGTCGAATGATTTCGGATCGACAGTCCTGAACAAGCTCGTGCCGCGCGCATGCTCCAAACTGACAAACACTGGCAAACCGCTGATCTCCCTTAAGCGTTCCTTCTCACGGGAGCGATAGAACCCCATAGTACCCTTAAGGGGACCCAACTGTAAATACTTTACAGGAAACCCTGTAAGGACTCCTTTAAGGGCAGTGATCCTTCGCTTCTAAAAGAGGGAGCCATGCCAACTGCCAATTGCTAACGGGCCTGTATCAAGCTTAGAATTGTGACGGTGAACTCTTCGTAAGACAGCGTGTGTTGAATTCGAGCATTTTTGTGTTTTTCTGTTGTGGTTCATCATTTATTGCTGTGTTCTATGTGTCTATTTTCTTGATTCTTTTGACACATGATTTGTTCTTTTCTGGTTCATTTCTGTCACGATGCTCTTGTTGTTGTTGGCGATGTCTATGTCTTCTTTCCTGCTGATCTAGATCTCTAGATCTAAAGCTTTCACTTTTCTCCTTTTCCATTTGTACACAGAGTTGGCCCCATGTCTCCATTGCTTTGAAAGTACACATAGCTTACATGTCGAACCTGCGGGAAAGGCATTTATGATGGTACGCGGTGATACCTGCTACCTGAGGTCTTGCACTGGAAGGTAGCAACTGGTAGCAGTTGGGTTTTGCTAATTACGAATGTACAGGCCTTTTTAATTAGAATGGTTTTTTTTTTTTTTTTTTGGGGGGGGGGGGCGCATTCTACTATAACTATCATAAGGAGCCCCCGAAATAGAGTGTGAGATCCATCAGTGACACCATCGAGGCCGCGACCTGGCGTCTTGCAGCTTCAGCTCCTTCTTGAGCAACTGCTTCATGTCCTCCCCGAAGGGGCGGTTTTTAAGTCAAAACAGGAGAGGAGGGTTTAGGGTTTAGGGTTTAGGGTTTAGGGCTTCTATAAACGCGACGGCTTCGCGCTGCTTCGCGTCCTCCTTGTTTGCCAAAGCCGTGCCGGATAAGTCCAGGAACGTCTGTCGGCTGAGGGCTGTCTGCACTGCCACTGGTGCAAGCACCAGGGGCCGGCCGTTCCTGGGTTCTTTCCAAATGGGGGAAGAAAGTACCCTAAATAATAGGATCCTTAATATAAGGACCCCAAAATAAGGTACCCCTAATTTTCGGAAACTCCCAAATCTAAGTTACCACAATGAACAGACCATGCTACTTACGATAGATCCGATACCTATCGTGGTGAGCTAAATGCAGCTGAACAAGAACCAAGGCTCCGCTGCAAGCGAACTTGCGAGGCTGCAGGTAACTCCTCGAGTCCGGTGATGTTGTTCTCTGACAGGTCCATGGCCTGCAGAGTCCCGAGCAAGGTGGCATCCCAACTTGGTCTCGTCTCATTCCGCGTCGAATTAAAAATCAATGTGGCAGGCAAGTTCTCCAGACGCGGCATTGCGCCATGCAGGCCGCAGGCCCTCGCACGCACTTTGACCAATGGTGTTGCCGCGAGTGCAAGCATGAAATCGGTCACAGTTCCGCGCAGCTCGCATCCAGATACCTGAGACACTTGAGGCTGGCAAGACAGATCGAGATCCACCCCGCCCGGTTCTGGCTTCAAACGACTCAGAAGCTCGCATCCAATTCTTGCAAGCTCGGGAGAAACGGCTCAGTCTCTGAGACCTCCAAGGGGAAGAAGACTTTTGGGAGTTCGCCACCTGCCCTGCTGGCCTCAGCGCTTCGCAAGCAAGCCCGACGTGTCCGCAGCTGCGACCTACTGAAAGCCACAGCCCCTGACCTCATGGCACCGGTATAGTAAGTACTGAGAGCCCAGCTACCAGGTTGAGCGTGCGCAAGTGCTGGCAACAGCCTTTCCAGGTACTCGCAGAAAACCATCCGGTGATGCGGGTGTGGCCTAGGTCGGCGGTGGCCAGGCCCGTCAGGTTGACGAGCGCACTAAGCTCGCCCGCAATAGGGGAGTCGGAGACGTCCAGATCCTGAAGCTGTGTCAAGCGCCGCAGGGGGCCCAGGTCCCCCGAGATTTGGGTGTGGGAGAGGTGCAACTCACTGAGCTTCCTGAGGCCCTGCAGGTTGCGCAGGTTGCCGGAGGCCTGAGTTTGGGAGAGGTGGAGCCGCTTAAGGCGCGTGAGGTGTTGCAGGGGGCCCATCTCACCCGACACCTGGGTTCGGGAGAGCAGCAACCACTGAAGTTTTTTGAGGTTCTGCAGGGGTTCCATGATGCCCCGCACCTGGGTTTCGGACAGGTCCACTCGCATAAGACGGGTGAGGTTGCGCAGGGGACCCAAATCACCCGTCACTTGAGTTTGGGATAGGTACAGCTTCTCAAGCCCGACGTGCTGCAAAGGCTTGAGGCTCCCCCCAAGTTGGGTTCGGGAAAGGGACAGGGAGAAGAGTTGGGTGAGCTTCTGCAAGTTCGCCAAATCGCCCCACACCTGCGTGTGGGAAAGGTGCAGGCGACCCAGAACGGTGAGGTGCGATAAAGCTTGCAAGTCACCCGACACACGCGTCTGGGACAGGGAAAGCTGAGCGAGCTGGGTCAGGCCTTGCAGGCTCCGCAGGTTGCCTGACACCTCGGTTTGGGAGAGGAAGAGCCTTTCAAGGAGGGTAAGGTTCTGCAGGTGGCCGAGGTCGCCCCAAACTTGGGTGTTGGAGAGGGACAAGGACCAGAGCTGGGTGAGGTTCTGCAAGGGTGCCAGACCACCGGATACCAGGGTGTTGCACAAGTCCAAATACCTGAGGCGGCGCAAGTTCCCGACCGGCACGAGGTCGCCTGCGATCTCCTTCCGTGCCAAGAGATCCAGCTTCGTGACATGGCAGCCCTCCACGCAGCTCACGCCTTTCCATTCACATGGATGTCCTTGCCAATATTTGGCACTGCTCCAAATTGCTATTGGTCCCATGATTACGGAGAAAACGTGTATTTCAATTACCCCAACTAGATTTTCCTGTCATTCCAGTCCTACTATCACTACTCCTACTGCTACTCCTACTACTCCAACTCCTCCTCCTCCTCCTCCTACTACTACTACTACTACTACTACTACTACTGCTACCCTCTCTGCGCCCCCCGAGAGACGTGGGTCTTTCGGCTCCCGGCTCCTTGACCGCCGAGGCCAAGGGCTTGGAGCCAGGAGCGAAGCTCGGAGTCGGAGGGGCCTCGGTTTAGGGTTTAGGGTTTAGGGTTGAGGGTTTAGGGTTGAGGGTTGAGGGTTCAGGGTTTAGGTTTAGGGTTTAGGATTCAGGGTTTAGGGGTTGAGGGTTGAGGGTTTAGGGTTCAGGGTTTAGGGGTTTAGGGTTCAGGGTTTAGGGTTTAGGATTCAGGGTTTAGGGGTTGGGGTTGAGGGTTT